TAACAAAGAACGAGCCAATATTCAAATGTAAACTATCTTTTTGTAGGAAACCACGTTATTTGTACAAACCTCATTCAACCAATCATAATTTTTCATTTTGTTCATTTTTTTTTTGTAATTATGAGAGGTTGATTAATCATTTTTATTGTGGAGGATGTTAATCATTGATATTATCATCTTCATTATATTAACTTTAGAGAAATACATGAAACAATTTCATTAAAATTTCATAAGTATTATATGAAACAATTTCATAAACATATATGAAACAACTTCATCAAAAAAAAGTATTATATGAAACAATTTCATATTTTTTTTCTTCATAAGATTAAACAATTAAATCGACAGATGAGGACGGTTTGCACGATTTGTACAAATATGAGTGATTTGCATTTGATCACTCTCGTATCTCTCTCTCTCTCTCTCTCTCTCTATATATATATATATATATTATAGAGAGAGAGAGAGAGTGTGTGTGTGTGTGTGTGTATGTGTGTGAGTTTCAGATACAAACCATACAAATCAAATTTGGGTCCTTGATTTTGTTTTTCTGAAATATAAAGGTGATTATTAAATCAGTTAAAGATGAGGTTGAAAGTAAATTTATGAACTGATTTAATCTACGACGTTGATCATCTACACAGATAGTTGAGATTGATTTATTTGATTCGTAACAGTTACATGGTTTGTATTTTAAACTCCCCATATATATATATATATATATATATATATATATATATATATATATATATATATATATATATATATAGACAAGGTTTCAAATGAAAATCTTTTAAACATTACAAACCTGCAAACCGATCTTGTGGAAATAATGAAGGTTTATTTATTATGATTTGAGTATTTATGGAAAACGATTAAAATTCATTAATTATGATCAACGTTATATACTATGAAACAATCGATATATTTATGAAATCATATATTCATTAGAGTGGATGGACGGTTGTCGGGTTGTGATTGATTTGTATGGTTTGTAACATTTCCTTGGTTTATATTTGAAGTTATAGTTCATATTGTTTCACATGTTATGTTTTCCATTATGTATCTGTATTTGTTTCTATGTGGCACGTTACACATTTTTTCTTCCACACACAAACGGTTCATAAAGTTCGTATATAAAACAATATTGTGTGGGAAGAGAAGTTATGATGAGAAGTATAAGAAGATATTTGAACCCTTGATCATTTTAATCTTATGTCCACTCATGAATTGTGTTTTATTGATCATTTTAATCTCATGCCCACTCATGAATTGTGTTTTAGAAGAGAATTGATCCAGTGCATCTCGGTGCACCTCATCAGTCTTGACATTCAATTAGGATTGATTCAAAGGTGGAGATCTCTTCTTACGCTTCTCACCTGAACCCAACCCTAATTATGAGATAGATAAAATCTATGTCTCTGTAACTAAGAGTAAAATTGTCCTTTTGTTAATTAAAAAGTATAAGGATTACATATTTCAAAAACCGTGTCTTTTTTGCTGTGAACATTTATTTTGGAACCGATGGTGTATTTGATACATTTAGTCATTGCTAATATTTATCACATTTTATTTTGAGAAGTTTTTGTTGAGTACTTTTTGACTATCAATTTTTTTAAAATAAAGTTTATATTTATTTTTTATTAACCTGCATATCCAACTCGCCTATGCGAGCCGACAAATCTTAGGGCGACCATCTGTTTTGCGGGTAGCCTGGAGTCATCACATTTGAACCTCCGTGGTCACAAGTGGATTTTTATTCCTCCTTCGATTTGAACCTGAGACCTCCAGACATTTTTGACCTTCGGAGTCTAAGCTCAAACTAAGCAAACTAGGTTAGGTTGACTAATTCACTGATGGTTATGAATTGGGTTGGAGAGTCACTTATTTTAATGAAAAATACTGTAAAGTTTACATACGGGGACTTGAACAGAAGACCTTCCATTCCACTAAAAGAACATTGTTACCAATGCTCTGCGCCTTTCTTTTATTTAACTTAACAAACATTGTGGGACCTTTAAGAGTTTGTAATAGTTTATTCCACTGCATCGGGATATTGAAGTGGTGGCATATGTCATCGTATATTTTTTACTAGGTCTGTCTATGAATGTAATATGTGATGATATAGGTGGGCCTATAAGAGCCCAAGTCTCCAGGTTATTGAATATAGATATAGCCAAAAACAGGTATTGGATTAAGCTCAAATCAGTTCATGTTCTTGGAAGTTGGTTTGTAACTAGGCTGACCAATCATGATCATGGTCTCGACCCAGAGTTATAGGATGGATCCCAGGCCTGAAGCATGATCCCTGTCCCATCCAACCAATCCTGGGATCGACCCGATTTTATTTAAAATAACTAAAAGGGTACTCGTGCAATGCAGCGAGATACATCTTGATTTTAATATTTTGTTTTATTATTTATCTCAGTCGATGTTATAATATGGTCTTATGTAATTTTGAAAAAATGATAATGTTTTTATTTTTGAATAAAATATAAATTTGAAAATATCATAAGATTTTGACAAAAATATATCGATATTAGTATCAAATTAACTATTTAAAATTTATCGTTTTTTGTGTAATCTTTTAATTTAATTTTTATATTATAATTTAATTTATGTTTAATAACGAAGTAATTTATATTTAGTTTCACAATATAATTTTTTATAAAGATAATAATTAACCAAATTGTATTTTAATTTTTTTATATTTTAAAATGAGATGTTTATTCTCTATTTGATTATGTTTATCTGCAATTAGTTATATGAATTCAAACATATAGCTTTAATAAGTTGTACTTATTGAATTTTAAGTAATATGTATAAATAAATAGTACTTTATGCATAAAAATGGTTTTTAAGAGGTTTTGTCAAATGTTTTATAATATAGCATAGATAATAATTTTTACACAAAAATGTTTTACAAGTTCTTATAATTATGATTTTTGAAATTGAGTATTAAAAACATTTATTTGAAAAATCTTTAAAAAATTCAAAAAATCATGAAAAATCTCTAAAAAAGGCATTGGACAAGTTATATTTATAATCAGACAAAAATTGGTACAAAACAAATTACACCAAGAAAACGATTACTTTATTATCTTTAATTTGACATTTATTTTGGTATATTTTTTTATCTGTTTTTTCATGGGTTTTCAGTAATTTTGTAAAGTTTTTTATGGTTCTTCTGTTCTTTAATCAGATAGATAATTAAATAATATAAATACAAATACTGTAAAGTATTTGATATTTAATGTGTTGTTTACTAATAATCTCATAATAGACGGTGATTATATGTTCATTTAACGTCTTAAGGAACAAATAACACAAACAGATCTTTTTATTTAACGAATAAACACGAACACAAAAATTTGTTAGTTTGCTTGGTTACATACACAAATAATGTTTGTTTACCTCTTAATAGTTTCATTAAGAGGCAACATCTGAATCGTTAAGAGCTGAATCTTGTTTGTCAAAAACAAATCTGCCTCTTAATGGTTCAAGACCCTCTGAATGATTTTGTATCATGAGTCTCCCTTAATCATTCAACGCCCTAATTTCATCGTAAACAATTATCAAACAATTTTATATTTCATTTTCCAATATATCATGAGAACCTTTTAATCATTCTGACTACTTAATCATTTTGCACCAAACAATTCAACAACTGCCAAACAGCCCGTAAGGTGTTTTCGCTGAGCAAAATAGACAGGGAATGAGGAAATGTTTGGAGAGCGGGGAGGTGGTCGGAAGTTGAGTTGGAGCAGGTTTTGAGATGAAAAATGTCATCCAACGAGACCCGGTTAATAAAATAGTTTCATGTGTGTTTTTATACAAGTTTTTAGCATAATTGATATTTGTCTTAACGTCAAGCAACGAAAGTACCGATGGAACGATTAATCATAATTTTTTTAAATAAATTATGTGTCAAATCAAATGTTCTATTTTTAAAATAAAACAAATATACAAGTATAGAGTTGAGTTCACGTGAAACAACTTGTTTTTGTGAGACCCGTAAGACCATTTTTTTACACTTGAAACTTCACAGCAATACGCTGTAAAGTAAAAAAAAGCCAAATCTTCACAGCATTTTGCTGTGAAGTTTCAAGTGTAAAAAAATGGTCTCACGGATCTCACAGAAACAGACTGGTCTCACGTGATTTCAAGTCTACAAGTATATGTTACATTTTTAGTCCCTATAGTTTGTTGAAAATTTCTGTACTCGTCCCTGTAGAGCAGGTTTGATATAAAAAACGCTAGCCAACAAGACCTATTTAATAAAACTAGTTTCATGTGTGTTTTTATACAGGTTTTTAACATAACCAATATCTGTCTTAATCTCAAGGAAAGAAAGTACAGATGTATAAGCAGTTAATCATAAATTTTTATTAAATTATGTGTTAAGTCAGATGTTATATTTTTTTTAAGATAAAACGAAATACGAATATATGTTACTATATGGGTCCATCAAATTCGCTACAAAAATAGTCGCGATTATGATAAAATGCAATTTCTAATAAACTGTGCGGAAAAAATGTGGAGTAAATTACGTTTTTAGCCCTTGTGGTTTGTGAAAATTTCTATTTTTGTCTTTGTAAAATTATAATTTTTATCCGTATAGTTTATAATTTATTACTGAGTTTGTCGTTTTAATTTAAACTTTATTGTTTTTTTTACCTTTATGGTTTTTAGTTAATTTCTATTTTAGTCCCTCATAATTAAAAGAAGTGTTTAGTTTTAGGGACGAAAATAGAAAAAAATCACAAACCACAGGGACGAAAACGTAATTTAAAACCACAGGGACAAAATCTGCAATTTTTAATAAACGACAGGGCGAAAAACGTAATTTACTCAAGAATGTAATATATTCTGAAGTTAAAGGGCCAAAATGTAATTAAACTAAACCTTATGTCCTTATCTGGACAAAAACTGAAAACAAGCACCGCTTACTAATTTAGGAATAACACCTTCTCTCTCTCATCCTTCTTTCTCTCTCACACACTCGCCGGAACTTCATAAATCATCGCCGGAGAACACTACTCATTTTCCGGCTAAACTGATTATCAGTGGAGTTCAGTTCACATACATGATCCTGTGTTTCTCTCTCTCTACCAACACCAATAATGTCGATGTATGATAAAGCATTTATGAACAGTGAGCTGTCAAAACCTACCTCTATATTCGGTCTGCGGCTATGGGTTGTGGTCGGGATCTTCGTCGGAGCTATCATTGTTCTCGTACTTTTTCTCTTATCCGTCTGCATCACCTCCCGCCGGCGTCACTCCAACTCGAGGAAGAAACCTGAACAAACCCTAACCCCTGCAGTACCGAAAGAAATACAAGAGCTCGTCCACCACGATTCGTTAGCTGCGGTGGATCACCGGATGTCAGTACCGGAGATCCAAATCGATATAGGGAAGTCGGAACACCGTGTGGTTTTTTCCGATCGGCAATCGAGTGGTGAGAGTAGGGCTACAAGTAACGATACGGCGTCGTATGGTGGTGGTAGTGGCGGGTCGTCGTTGCCCCAAGTGTCGCATCTAGGCTGGGGGCGGTGGTATACCCTCCGGGAGCTTGAGGCAGCGACAAACGGATTGTCCGATGAGAATGTGATCGGAGAAGGAGGCTACGGTATAGTGTACAGTGGTATTTTGGGGGATAATACTCGTGTGGCAGTGAAGAACTTATTGAATAATAGGTAACTTTTTACTCGTTTTCTATTCAATTTCTCAGTTGAATTGCAACGGCAAACAAAATCGTTTTGCAAGTATTTTCAACCAAGTTCTGATAACTGATATTATCATTTTTTATTCTTCTTCAATGGTCATAATTCTAGGATGCTACTATAAGGAGATTTATGAGGGTTTTGTGTGAATTGATGTTATAAAAACTGTATGTATGTCTTCTTCTTCATGAATGATTACAGAATAGGTTAAGATAATTGACCATTGAATGTGGGTGTGTGTTCCTTGACCATAAATTTGTGATACCTATTGGAATTCAAGACCTGAATCAAATTAGAACATTGGGGTCTTAGTAATTTACAATCTTTTATGTAGTTTTGAGTTATTCAAACCCAGGTTTCTTTCACACACATCATTATGATTTGATTTAATCCTTCTCTAATTTCATGATTAAATTTCTTTTACATTTGGGTTCTGCGAGATTAGTGATTGGATTAATCATGTATTCTTTTTAAATGATTGCTGTATGAGTATTTGGATGATGAAAACTCAGGGGTCAAGCCGAGAGGGAGTTCAAAGTAGAGGTAGAAGCAATTGGGCGTGTTCGACACAAGAATCTTGTTCGCCTGCTAGGATATTGTGTTGAAGGAGCCTACAGGTACCGGTTTTCCTTTCGATTGCGAATTATCTTTGTTAAGAATGTGTATTTCAAGGGTGAGCTTTGGAGAAACTATTGTGTAATGGGTCCATGCCACATATATCACATTTTGTTGCAAAATACAAGCGGGAATTTGTGTACTCGTTACTTCTTTGCACACACTCACGTGTATCCTGCCTGCTTGTTTTTTTTAATTTTTATGTTGCAGACTGGGGGTCTTCATGGAATTAGCCTCTCTACCCCCAGGGGTAAAGACAACGTCTGCATACATCCTACACTTGACTCTACCTCTGTGTATGATATATTGGGTTGGTTTGGTTTGATTTAAGCAGAAAATTGTGTACGGAGACGTTCCTCCCAACCCTTTTTTTTGGAAGGGTATCCCAGGCTACGCCTAGACTAATCCCGAAAAATTGTGACTGCAAGAAATCAGCCTGATAAACTCAGTGGCCACAATTGTTGTGTACGCCTGGAATATCCCACCACATCCCCCAAGACCTCAACCAGTATGCCACAACCCTTGTGGTTCATCCCCAACCCTTGCAAAGCCAAGGAGCCTTTATCCATCATGATCCTGTTAGGATGAGGATCAATGATAACATATACACAATAATAATCTTAGGAAACGAGAAATCTAACATGTGATTTACTTGGTTCAAATAATATTTTTACATCCACCACTATTGATAGGATTTTAGTGTATTTTGTGGATCTTTTGGTATAGCAACGTTCTTTGAAGGAAGACCACCCCTTTTACAAGAATACCAGATAGCAAAAGGACCAAGAATTGTCATCACAGTCGTAGGGTTTTGTAGACAGTTTTAGGGTGCATTTGGTATGTGAGACAGGATTGGACTAAGGGCCGTTTGGTTAGTTTTCCATCAAGTCCTGTATTGACAAAACTGTTTGTGTGGATTAATCTATCTATATGGATTGGGAAGGTTTTGTTTGGGAGGGCTTTTTCATAAATGGAATGAGCGTTTTCTTTCTAATTGGGAGGGGCAAGTTTGGAAAAAACTTAGCTTTCTACAAAAGCTCCCCCTTATAAGCTTTCTATATGAGCCACTTTTTATATCATTAAGCCACTATCAAACAGTCATTAGCTGACCAAATAAGTTGTGAATCTCATTAAGCTCATCTAACAAACAGGCCCGAAGATCAAAATAGGTGGAACATAAATCATGGAGGTGAGACAATATTAGTAAATTACTAAACTACATATGTCAAATTAAAACCCTAAACCTTGCAAAATTCTTTCACCCATACTTCACTCTCACCGTTCGGTCCTGTCTGCGTAGGCTCTGTCCCCCCGGGGTGGGCGCAGAGGGAGCCACATTGGGCCTTGGCTAACCCTGAACTATTTATGATTTTTTCGTTAATGTACCGGTTCGCTCAAGTTCTCAATCTTTTACTGAACACAACTTAGATTTCCTCTAAATGTTTCATGTGATTTACGACAACCAGCATTAGTCGAATATCTTGTGTCAATATCTCGTAAAACCTTGAATCGACAAGGTAATCTGGGCTACCCCTGGATCAAATTCCTGACTCCGTCCCCCCCCCCCCCCCCCCTCCAAAAAAAAAAAAGGCGATTGTTCTGTTCCCAACAAGTGATTTTTTTGTCATCGAATGTTTCTTTTCCAGGATGCTAGTCTATGAATACGTAGACAACAAGAATTTGGACCAGTGGCTTCATGGGGATATGGGGGATGTCAGCTCTTTAATGTGGGGTCATCGTATGAATATCATCCAGGGAACTGCAAAGGGGTATGCTACTTGTAAATCTGTATCGAGAAATCACTTGTCCAAGTTTATAGCATAAAATTGCATGGAGATCGAGCTTTGTTGTTTATATACTTTGTATTCTTGTTGTTACAGTTTGGCATATCTTCACGAGGGTCTTGAACCAAAGGTAGTCCATCGGGATATTAAATCCAGCAATATATTACTTGATCGTCAATGGAACGCTAAAGTTTCCGACTTTGGACTTGCTAAGCTTTTGGGTTCAGATACAAGTTACGTGACAACTCGTGTGATGGGAACTTTTGGGTACGTATAACTCACTTCGCTGCTTGATTATTAATTGCTCTTCCTTCGTTTACCCTGCAATGTGGATTGTATGTTGATGAAGACACTTCATGAACTTGACATTTGAGATCAACTTAAGTCTTCTAAGTTCTACTTGTTTATGAATTCTACTACAAATTGGAAACTGGCATATTTTTATTTGTAATTTTTGTTGCAATATTTGGTTTTGCTACTGTCCTCCTATTGGAAGTTTGCGAATGCATATCAATCTTGAAACTATGAGCTAGTTTGCTTGTTTTTCTATTTATTATTCTTGTTGCAATATTTAGCGCCATACCGCCATGACCGTATTCTTATTAAAGATAGGAGTTCTTTGAGGCGGCGGATAAGGGTAGCTGATTGCTTGTAGGACTGCTGATCGGGGAGGGGGTGGGAGGGTAGAGTGTGGGTTGGGGGAGGGTTGAGGGCCTTCAGATAGATTTACGATATCTTTTGATAGGGATCAGGGTTCTTTGTTGTGTTCTGTGCATGGTTCTAAAAGGCGTGCCATGGCGTCTTGAGGCACATTATGGCATGAGTTTTCTTGAACACGTTATTTGACATTTTAATTTTTTATTTTCTTAAAAGTTTGCCGTTCTTCTATTTTAATGGTATTATGAGGGTTTAGTATAATACTTTTTGTAAGCTCTATATAGATTTGATGTCAATATATGATTTTTATTTTTATTACATGAAATTAAAATGTTCAATGTCATTGAGTAATAGTAGAAAGCATATATATATATATTATATGTATGTATGTATATATATGTGTGTGATATACTGATTTGCCGCCTTAAGCAACAACTTGAAAAACACGTGGCCTCACCGTGTCTCCTAAGGCTTGAGGCTCAGGGCAGCTTAATGGGACTCGCAACTTATTCGGTCAGCTACATATGATTGTTTGGTAGTGGCTTAATGATATAGAAAGTGGCTTATTCAATAAGCTTATAGGGGGAGCTTTAGGTAAAAAGCCATGTTTTTTCCAAACCTGCTGCTCCCAATTAAAAACACGCACCTTCCATCTATGAAAAAACCATTCCCTATTTACACAGACATATTAATCCACACAAACGGCGTTATCTGTACAACACTTGATGGAAAACCAACCAAATAGCCCCATAATCTTGCTGCCACACCTCACGTCATTTAGAACCTTGGTTATGTGTTTTTTTTAGCAAAGTAGTATCTTTGCATTCCTTTATAATCTTGTCTTCAACAAAAAAACCCTTTCCCTCCTAATCTTGTGGCTTCCAGTCATGCTTTTCTATCTGTTTTACATACCCTTTTCGCAATCGGGGCATCACTCTCTATGTCTTGAGACAGAGGTAAGGTTTGTCCTAACCACCACCACCCCCCGGCCGCCCTACCTAGATATACTGGGTTGGTTTGTTTACTGAATTCTTATTGAAAGTTTGCGAATGCATGTCGATCTTCAAACTGAAAACGAGTCTGTTTGACCTGAAAAGAACGAGCTTTTCCTTTTCAGCTACGTTGCACCAGAATACGCCTGCACGGGTATGTTGACCGAGAAGAGTGATGTATATAGCTTCGGAATACTTATTATGGAGATACTTACGGGAAGAAATCCAGTAGATTACGCTCGACCACAAGGGGAGGTTAGCATTTCATTCTAACACGTCAAATAACCTTCTTGATTCAAATTCTTTCACCCTTCGGACAATTCGTAATTTTTTGAAGTATATAGTGTACATATATAGGGTCCGGTTTAGGGGAAAACCGCAAAAATTTGAAAAATTGAGGAACACCTGGTAGCTATACACATGTGCATACAAGCAGTTTGTCCGGTATGCACATGCATAAGTGCATAAAAACCAAGAAATAACTTCAGTTACTTGTACGCACATGTGCATACCATCCAAATGAATGGTTACAGGATGTTCCTCAATTTTTCATTTTTTGGAGGTTTTAATCTGAACCTCCCTCCCTCTCTCTGTGTATATAAATATATATATATATATATATATATACACACACGGGGTAAATAATCACGCATCCGGTTTGAACCCTTAGACCTCAGGGCCAATGACTGTTTTGGTGACAATTCGCAAATTTACAGGTGAATTTAGTGGAATGGTTGAAGACGATGGTTGGAAACCGTAAATCTGATGAGGTGGTTGATCCTAAGTTGCCCGAGATGCCGTCTTCAAAGGCATTAAAACGTTTACTGTTGGTGGCTCTTCGGTGTGTAGATCCGGATGCACAAAAGCGGCCTAAAATGGGGCATGTACTTCATATGCTTGAAGCCGACGACTTGCTACTTCCCACTGTAAGTATTGTTTTACGAATCTTTAGTTTTCGTTTACGAGCATCTCGTAACAGTTCCTCCAAAATGGAGAAAAATCTCGGAGTTTTTAGGCTCGTTTTTATTGTTCCTGGGAAAAAACTTGACAACGTATCAATAAATTAAATTGAGGAAGCGAGAATATTTTTTTTATATTTATTGAAAGTTTTAATAATATAATTAAGAGTAAATAACGATTTTCTTTCTCGTTTGTAAAGACTTCGATTTTCCGTCCCTGGTTTAGAAATTGCAGTTTTCGTCACTATGGTTTGTAATTCATTGCTATTTTCGTCCTTATAATTTACAATTTATTGTTGTTTCAGTCCTTATGGTTTACAATTTTTTACTCTTTTCGTCTCTTATACTAAAGGTAGGAATTAGTCCTGGGACGAGAATAGCAATAAATTGCAAATCTTAGGGATGAAAATGGCAATTATTAACAAACCACAGGGACAGAAATTGTAATTTACTCTTTTTTAATTAACTAAATTACAGGTATACCCTTAATAACATAGTGACTAGTACTTAGAAAAGCAAAGTGGGTTGAGAATTTTTCGTCTCATAATTAAGGGTAGAATTGGAAAGTTCACACTTACTTTCAAAAGCAGATGATTATTTTGGGACAAACTAAAATAGAAATATGGATACTGGTTTTAGGACTGAAAGGGAAACGTTGAACTGTTTCAATACTTCTCCGAAAAGAAAATTGCGGTTACAACATTGGGTTCTTTTCCTTAATTTGCAGGAAAGAAGAGATTCTTCCCGTTCCAATCGTAGATTACTCGATAAACAATCCATCGATAGGGATTCAGATACGAGTGAAGGCGATAGCAGCCGATGGAGGTAACACAAGAATCGAATTTGATCGAGGTCTCGAATTCTCTCTCAAGTTGATTACTCCATCCGTCCCAAAATAAGTGTTCATATTGAAAAAGACAGACGGTTTTAGAAAAGTGTAATTATTACACTTTTTAATGAATTAAATGACAGTTTTACCCTTGATAACAGAGGGAGTAGTTAATTTCTCCATCTGATAATTAAGGGTAGAACGGAAAAATGCGTAAGTGTACACTTATTTTAGGACGAATCGAGTATTTATTAACCATTTTTTCATTTTCTTTGTATGTAATTTCAAAAAATTTATAATTTATGATCATTCTTTTGTTTGATGCCCACCAAACACACATTTGTATTACTATTCAAATAATTAAATTATTATCATTATTTTTTTTTTCTTTCAGGAGATTTAATATTTTTAAAGGGAATTTAGGGGTTGTTTGTTTATCTCTTAATAGTTTCATTAAAAGGCATGTTTTGAATCGTTAAGAGATGAATCTTGTTTGACAAAAACAAAGTCTGTCTCTTAATGGTTCTAAAACCCTCTGAATGATTGTATATCTTGGTCCTCCTATAACCATTCAACGCTCTAATTTCATTGTAAACAATTACCAAACAATTATATTTCATTTTGTACTATATCATGAGAGTCTCTTAATCATTCTATATTTTGACCAGTTAATCATTCTGCATCAAACTATTCATCATTTTGCCAAACCATTAGACTTTAGGTTCTTGTTTTAATTTTTGAACCTTCACTTTTTGCTATTTTCTTTATTTACTTAGGGATACTGCTATCTATGTTTAGTTTTCACAAGTCGGGTATTCATAGAAACAGTTTTACTCTTTGAGGGTAGAGGTTAAATATGTATGCATCTTACCTTCGGTCCCTACTTTTGGATGTGATATAATAAGTAGGGGTGCACAAAAAACCCGACTAAGCCGACCAACCGGGTCATCTCGAGTACCCAACCCAACCCAAAGCGACTCGATACTTAATTGAGTTTTAATATATTCAAGCTGTATGTATTAGGTTGGAATTGGGTTAGGGCCATTTGAATTCAATACAACCTGATAGACCAGATATCTTTCTATACTGTTGATTTAATATGATTGTTAAGTCTTTAATCAATATATGTACATTAGATATTAGATCAACTTGTAATTTTATTTTTTTATTTTTATGAACCTTCAACTTTTATTCTTTGAGTTTGTTATCTTATTTGTATGTTATCATATTGATTTTACTTCTTTAGATACAATCACTCGGCTAGATTGTAAAACGACCTACCAAAGTTTCAACCCAACCCATCCTGCATGGTATGAGTTGGGTTGAGTTGAGATTTTTTAAACCGCAAATATTAGATTGAGTTTGTTCAAGTGCCTTTAATCTAGCCAATCTGACCTGTGTGCAACCCTGATACTGGGTTTGTTCGATTTGTTTCTACTGTTATGGTTGTACTCTATGTTGAAGCAGTTTTAGTTTGCTTATACCGAAATTAATGTGGGGGCACGTGAGGTGGCTAACGGACTAAAAACAAACAGTGTTAGCGTCAGAGATCCAATCTGTCATAAAATGCAAACCATAATAGACCACCGGTGTAATTTGGCAAACCGTAGGGACCGGATATGTCTTCGTATAGAAAAAGTTAAATGCAATGTTTTAATTTTAAAATTAAAATCAATATAGTTTTAATGAAAACAAGTATAGAAATACATTTGAGTTTCTATTAATAGCAATATTTGATGAACGTACGATGTTGACCTTCTATTTATAGTAAGGTTTCTTTAGTACGTACTTTGTAACGATCCATGACGTATATTCTCGATAATGGATATGGATGTACGAGGACACGTGTCGTGTGTTAACCTTTTGAGTGTAGTTCGGTTGGTAATTGGACGGAATGATTTTGGTCGAATATACGACAAGTTTGAATTCAAATCATGTGGAACACCGACTTTGAATCCCTCTGCTGACTTCAACCGTTGAGTCGGCACTGAAGCGTCTTCTCACGTGATTCCTAGGGGACGGGTTCTGTATGGCGTCGATTGAGGTTGTCATTAATTAGTCTTTTTGCTCAAATTATCAAAGAGTAAATGTTGGGTCCTTAACTGGTCTTGACATAGAAAAATGGGTCTGAATCGATCTTCGAGTTTGACCTATCCTTTCATACTTTAACGTTCATATCCCGTTCTTTATTATATAACATTGTTTATGGTTGGATTCCGGTGAGAAGGGAAGTTATAGTGAGAAATGTAAGAAGTGATCTCCACCCGTGGATCAAATCCTAATTGAATGTCAACGCTAAGTTGCTAATGAGATGCAACGAGATGTACCATATCAATTCCCTTCTAAAGCGCAATTCATGGATGGACATGAGATTAAAATATATTAATGGTCCAGATCTCTTATTACGTTTCTCACACGATCCTTTGCCACATTGTTTAATACTTTCTTCATCTCAAAATACACATTCAAGATTAAAAAAACTCATACAGTTTTAGAAATATATAATTATTATATATTTTTTGATTAATTAAGTAACAAGTTTACCCTTAAGGGTAGTATTGGAAATTAGCCACTTATTTTTAAAGTGCACTTATTTCTAAACAAACCAAAATAGAAATGTGGACATCGTATTATGGAACAAATGGAGTTTATACAGAATTTCGTTTGACCAGGTCTTTTCGGTCCAAATAAGAATCTGTTTAAAACAAATTCTTTTCCTGGGATTGATCAGTTATTTCGGTTTGCATAAAGCCTGGTCCTCGCCTTAACTGGGTTCTTTTTAGGTTGAACGAGAACCGGTCATCCATCTCAGTCCCATTCATGTATCTCAATATAAAGTGAACTAAAAAGGTCAAGTATTTTAATTGGTAACTAACGAAATGGTAAAATGACCATTATACCCTTTCAATTCAGTGTCAAATTTAAAACCCATTTAAGGAACATTAACGTAAGGTTCAACAATATTGTGTGGCCGAACTTATAAACTCAATTAACTAGACGAGTGCAAGTACAAGTTCATAAAAATATAAAAGTTGTTAGTGCTAAAATTTGAACTCGAACGAATAAACGAGCTAATTGATCTCAAGTTTGATCTATAAACGAGCTTATAAAACTTGAATTTTAAATCATAATGTATGATTCAAGATTGTTAAACGAGTATCAAACTTGAACACTAAAAAGACTTAGGGCCCGTTTACCAAACACTTACCCGGTAAGCGCTTACCGGTAAATTTAACACTATCATTTACTTACCGGATAAGATTTTAGTACATCAAAACGGTATCGTATGCAACAATTTACCCGGCAAGCGCTTACCATGGTAAGAGTCGTCGCTTTCACTTACCGGGTAAGACTCTTGGTCTTTGTCTCGCTCTTACCGGGTAAGATTCTTAATCCTTACCATATTCATCCGGTAAGGTAAAATGACTTGGTGTTCACTTACCTGATTAAGCGTTTGGTAAACGACCCTTTAGTTCGGATTTTATATTATTTTTTCAACAGAAACCCAAACTCAAACAACCTGTTACTCAGCTCAAACGCTTCTAGTTAAATGCGGTGACGATACTTGCCCAAATTTATGCATTTTTATCTTCTTTTTTTCGTATACATTTTTCAAAATGAGTGTATATTTCCCCGTTCTAGTTTTATTTTGAGATGGATAAAAATTCTCACTTTACTAATAAGGGTAAGATTGTCTTTTTGTTAATTAAAAAAATGATAATAATTACACATTTCTAAAACTACGTCTTTTTCATTATTTATGTTGGACAGATAGAGTAGATATGTAAAAAAAAGCCCAAGATTAAAGCTCGATCCAAGATTGGCCCAAAAAAGCTCGAGCCTAGTAAACTCAAAGCCCGATCTGGGCTAGGCCTTAAAGCCCGACTGGGACAACTTTTTTTTGAAGGGTATCACAGGCTATGTCTGGATTAATCCTAACAAATTTTGACTACAAGAAATCAGCCATGATAAATTCAGTGGACACAATTGCTATGTATGTTTGGAATCAAACCCTGGACAAATGATGTATTCCACCATATTCCTTAGGAACTAAGGGGTTGTTTGTTTACCTATTAATAGTTATATTAAGAGGCAGCCTCTAAATTGTTAAGAGATGAATCTTGTTTGACAAAAAAAAAGTTTGCCTCTTAATGATTTCAAAACCCGCTGAATGATTTTGTATCATGGACATCCCTTAACCATTCAGCACCCTAATTTCATTGTAACAATTATCAAGCAATTTTATTTCATTTTGCACTATATCATGAAAGTCTCTTAATCATTTTGCACTAAACCATTCTGCAACCACCAAACAGCCCTTAAATCACTATGCCACAACCTTTGTGGTTCAGTACAAGACTTTCAGGACAGGCCTAGGCCGACAAAGCAGGGCTTGAAAAAAACCCGATTAAGCCCGAAAAAACAAGTCGAGAATAGCCCAATTGGACGTTTTTTCTAATGTAAAGCCCGAATATACCCACTGAAAACAGATTTGGAAGCCTCGGATCTAACTCGAAAAAGCCCGATTTTGATGTATCTTTTGAAGGGAGTATGTTGTGTTCAAGATAACATTAAATCCTCTAACTGCTAAAAAGAAAAAGAAAGCAAATTTCATCAAAGATTCATCAAGAAATAAAATCTAAACCCTGATAACAGGTGTGTGGTTTGATCAAAAGTCCATTTCAACAGCACAAAAAGATAACAGAAAACGTCAATTTCTTCACGGATTTCCATACCCAATTACAGTTCAAAAGTTCCCCAAACTTTTAAAAAGGTCAATACCCCATTTTTCTTCCATCTTCTGGGTGTTTTCTACTCAAAAAAACCAGAGAAAAAAACCCAAAAATCCATGTCTCTAATGGAATCCAGCTCTGCAACTACAGGAGATCAGAGTCATATTAAAGGAATTATCACTCATGGTGGTCGTTATGTTCAATACAATGTGTACGGTAACCTTTTCGAAGTTTCTAGAAAGTACGTTCCTCCGATCCGGCCTGTTGGTAGAGGAGCCTACGGTATCGTATGGTATGAAAAACTCGTTGATTTTGCTGCTTAATTTCGAAGTTTTCAGTATGATTGGATGTAGATTTGTGTATTTGATCTGTTTTTGAGTTTGATTTACTGTTTTTGATCGTGATGAGTAGTATTGAAGCTCGGATCTGGAGATGAAGATCTCTCATGAATGAATTTTTAATCGTTTTTTGCAAGTAATTGTGAATTGATCGATGAATGTTCAATAAATCATGTGGGTTTCTTATGTAGTTGTTGATCTCATTAGGGTTTTCAATTTGATCTCATAATCATGATTGATTAGTTTGAATTCTTGCATTTATATATTAGGAGATTCACTTTTTAGCCCTTTTCAGAGCAATCTTCCCAAAGTAGTAAAACTTATTGCTAATGATTCCTTACGTAAAAATTCGAATCCTTACGCAAAAATCTGAATCATTACGCAAAAAAGGCGTTTCTTTTTAAATCTGAAAGTCGAGTTCACGACATTTGCTTAAACTCCGGCTAAAATGAGAATTCAATTGAAAAAGTGGCTAAAAGGTGAATTTGGTTGTGGAGATCGGCTATTTTTGGTCAATTTCCCTTTCTATATAACTTTGTTTTTGTGTGTACGAATGAGCATTATAATGGTGATTTATGCCATGTTTTGCAGCCGTAAATAGGTTTATTTTTTGAGCTTATTGAAAAAGCCCTATTTGGATTGCCATAAGCTAGCATATTGAAATGATCTGGCGGGGGGTTTTCACTTCTTTTTTTTCAATTATGCCCTTATATTTATGTAATTAATTTTCAACATTTGTCTTTTTAAGTCATTTTACATTGTCATCCAGCTTATCAAGCAGTTTTTACCAAGCATGACTATTTTATGAGCAAACTTTTCAGCCAACAACCAACTTTTTAGCCATTTGTCAATGAAGAAGGCGCACGGTTTTAGAAATATGTAATTGTTACACTTTTTAATTAATTAAATGACGATTTTACCCTTGATAATAGAGAGAGTAACGAATCTTTCCATAAGGGTAGAATTGGAAAGTAGGCACTTACTTTTGAAAGTGGACCCTTATTTTTGGTACAAACTGAATTTTGGGGCAGAGGGAAGTATACTAATCATTTGTAGTTCATTTCTGAACCTATTTGAAGTATGAGTGATAGGGTCGGATTAATCCCCTATTTTTCTCAAGAAAATTGACCGTCCTTCGTATATTTATTACAGTGCGGCAATGAACGCGGAGACACATGAAGAAGTTGCCATCAAGAAAATCGGTAATGCATTCGACAACCGAATAGATGCCAAACGAACTTTGAGAGAGATCAAGCTTCTCCGTCATATGGATCATGAAAATGTGAGCTTCCTTTCTTAACGTTTATAGTTGCTTGAATTGAAACCAAACGAGTCTAGTAAACCCCACCCGGAGGTGGGGTCCCCTTTAGGGTGGATCAAAGGTTTGTAGAGTCGCGGTTTGATCTTGTGGAAAAGTCAAGGTTGTTTGACCCGGGGAAAAGTCAATTGTGCCAATTTGGGGAATAAAATACATTTTTTTTTTCAAATGGGGACCTTTTAGGTAAGACGCAAGACTAGGTCTTAGGCTTAAGCCCAATGTCTTTAGCCGTATTCCACCATTTCGGGGGATTTCTTCCGTATTTTGGTTGATCTTGAAGGATTTTTTTTGAAAGTTTTTTGGTTGATTTTGAGGGACATTTTCGGTTTTTTTGGCTGATGTCCCTTGTATTTTCTGGTATCTCGGAGCACCCTCAAAGTTTACCATGTGCACCTTTCATACCCCAAAAAGAAATTACTTGCAAAAATCGGTTGAGCAGGTGAACGGAACCCCCTTGGCTCCTTCGACCTTCATAAGTCCGCCTAGGGGTGTAAACGAGCTGAACCGAGTTGAAAAGTAGGCTATTCGAGCTCGCCTTGATAAAATTATACTAGGCTCAAGCTCGAATCACTTTTTCAATCTAGGGCTCGAGCTCGAATATTTTTTGAGTTATCGTGCTTAAGCTCGATGCTCGCATATGAGCTCGAACTCGCGATTGATTAAATCGTTTATTGACTCGAGTTTGATAATTTCTATATTTTTATTGTACGATTTATGAACATATGAGCATGTTTGGCTCGGAAAAGTGTATGCTCGAACTGCTTGGCTCAACTTGACTCAGACAAATTTAATCATTCATAAATGTTTACTTATTTGCATGATTACCCTTTATGTTAACTTACATTTATTTATTAACCAATTATTTTGTTTCCTATTATCTCATGCTTGTCTTTGTAGGTTATCGCAATCAAAGACATCATACGACCTCCACAGAAGGAAAATTTCAATGATGTATACATCGTTTATGAGTTAATGGACACCGATCTTCATCAGATAATACGCTCAAACCAACCTTTGGCCGATGATCATTGTCGGGTTTGGCCCCCACTCTCTTGATGCTTTGTCAGAATTATTTTAATAAAGTTACCATGCTCGCATATGGTTGGGAAACCTGTTAACGTGACCTTGAGTGGGACAAAAATGCATTTTTTTGTCCCACCAAAATAGGTGAAACAAAAATCACGGAGATGAGACAAGATTGGTAAATTACTAAAATACATGTCAAATTAAAACCCTAAAACCTTCCATAATTCTTTCACCTGCCTACCTCACTCTCGTCTGTCCAAGCCCGTCCACTTACAAAACGCACCCTTCATGGCCATTGTGCTTCTTTTATTTTAGGATATCCCACTGAGGAAGTTATTTTACTTTCTCCGTCCCAAAACAAGTGTCCACATTTAAAAAGAAAGTTTATAATATGTATATACTGCAAATGAACTCACACACCCATTTCACGTTTAGTGAGGTATGAACCCTTTACCTCCTGATACCGATAGGTCAAAGGCCCTTTCGTCATGTTTTTATTTTAGTTCGTCCCAAAAGTGTCCACTTTCAGAAGTAAGTGCCTACTTTCCGATTTTATCCTTTTAACTATGAGATGGAGAAATTCATTACTCCCTCTATTATTAACGTTGTGTTCTCGAATTTGGGAGAAAAGAAAAGAAAAAGGATGGAAAAGAAAGGAAAGGAAAATATTTTTTTTCATTTGTGTTCTCGATAGGGAATGAAAAGGAAGGAAATGAAAAAAAAGAAAATAATTTTTCATGTTCTTGAACAAGAGAGAAAGGAAAAGAAAGATGTCTTTTTTATAAATATACCCTTTAAAAATATATCCTTTATAATGAAAAGTTGGGTAGTTTTGTAATTTTAATGATCTTTTTAAAAGGGTTTTAATTTCTTTCATTTTCCTTCTCTTTCCTTCCATGTTTGGAAGGAAATTTTTTGAGGAAATTTATGATTATTTTTCTTCTGATTCCTTTCCTTTCTCTCCAACAAAAGTTTCAAGAACACCATTTCTTTTACTTCCCTTCCCTTCCCTTTCCTTCGTAAAGAAGGTTTTGGGAACACAGTGTAAGGGTAAAGTTGTCATTTAGTTAATTTAAAAAGTGTAATAATTACACATCTCTAGAATTGTCCGCCTTTTTCATTGTGGACATTCATTTTGGGACGGAGGGAGAATTGATTTATCCTAATGACTATTAATTTTTGTTGAGATTGATGCTTTTTGATTATTGTATGCAGTATTTTCTGTACCAAATTCTTCGAGGACTCAAATACGTTCATTCTGCACATGTCTTGCATCGTGATCTAAAACCGAGCAACTTGCTTCTGAATGCTAATTGTGACCTAAAAATCGGAGATTTTGGACTTGCAAGGACAACATCTGAAACCGACTTCATGACCGAGTATGTCGTTACTCGGTGGTACCGGGCCCCGGAGTTGCTCTTAAATTGTTCAGAATACACGGCGGCAATTGACATCTGGTCGGTAGGTTGCATTCTTGGTGAAATCATGACCCGACAACCCTTGTTCCCGGGCAAAGATTACGTTCATCAACTTAGACTCATCACCGAGGTAATCAAGTTTTCTAGTCCTTTAAGCCCTAAAACTTTTTTGCTAGGCAGGGGTCTTAACGGAAAAGACTTCTCTACCCCTTTGGGTGGAGGAAATATCTGCATACATGATACCCCGGACCCTCCTTTGAGTGGGATATATTGGGTACCTTTCGTTTGCTTGGTTTTCTTATGGGAGATTTAGTGCCTGTTTGTTAGCAGCTTAATGAGCTAATGGAACCCACAACTTATTCGGTTAGCTATACATGATTATTTGTTTTTTTTTTTTTTGAAGTATATAATATTTATATACGGCAAATGCAACAAATAAACTCACACACCCTCCTCATCTATGATGAGGTTGGAACCCCTGACCTCCTAGAAGGCCAAGGGATACGATACCGCTAGGCCAAAGGCCCATTGGTTACATGATTGTTTGTTAGTGGCTTAATGATATAGAAAGCGGCCTATTCAATAAGCTAGAAGGTAGGAATCTCCATATTTGAAGAAATGTCTATAACACAATATTAAGGAGAGAGATATATTATTTTAATTGTTTCCACCAATGAGATCGAATGTGTTGTAATTTTTGTAAAGTTTTTAAAGTGTGTTGGGATGATGAATTCATAAAATATTTTAATAATATAAATGATGTTGGAGTTGCTAAAATAGAGTAGTTGATGGAGTTGGATGTAGTTTTTTTAGAGATTTTGGTTTTTGATACTCTATTCCTGAAAAATTATAGCATAGTTGTTGGAGATGCTCCGAAAATATGGTTGTTAGCTGAAAAGCTAGTTGTTGGTTAATAAGTTAATTGATAAACTAGTCATGCTTCGTTAAAACTAGTTGATAAGCTAGATGACACTGTAAAATATCCTAAAAGGATATGTTGAAAAAATAATTAGAAGAATATAAAGGGTATAATTGGAAAAAAAACTGCGAAAAAACTCTTGAAGCTTATTGAAACACTACTTGAAGCAGTTTTTCAGAAACCTCACTTATGGGTAACCACACAGGGTTTTTTCAATAAGCTCAAAAAATAAGGTAGCTTATGGTTACCCAACATGGTCTTTAAGACATCTTTGTTGGGTATGAAGATTTGCATATGTTTAACATGGTGACATATATATATATATATATACATATATATATATATATATATATATATATATATACAGGGGAAGGATCGTGTGAGAAGTAAGAAGCATAAGAAGACTTGATCACTTTTAATCTCATGCCCACCCATGAATTGCGGTTTAGAAGTGAATTGATCCGGTGCATCTCGGTGCACCTCATTAATGTTGACATTCAATTAGGATTGATTCAAGAGTAGAGATCTCTTCTTACGCTTCTCACCTTAACTTCCCTTCTCACCGGAACCCAACCTTATATGTGTGTGTATATATATTTTGTTTTTGCTTAGACATGAATTCATTGATTCGATACAAAGGGTTGTCCACCATCATGGGAAATATCGATCCGGTGGCAACGGTTAAAGTCCCGTGATTATTTATTTGTTTTGGCTATTTAACATTTTGTGGGTCCAATCTATTTATTGTCCAAAACAAACCCAGTAAATCCCATGCATACGTGATTCTTGATTTTGGGCCCAATTTTCTTGATGCGAGAAGAAAGAATCAGGACGGAGCCCAGAAAATAAAGATCGTCTGTAAATGGTGTAAACGAGTGGCGTGTTATCATTATGTGCGCCATTTGTAGTATGCCTAAAAAGATGGTTCATTAAAAAAATTTCCTTTTTTGGTATAGCTCATTGGTTCACCGGATGACGCGAGTCTTGGATTTCTCAGAAGTGATAACGCCCGAAGATACGTTAGGCAACTTCCTCAGTATCCAAAGCAACAATTCTCTGCTAGATTCCCGAACAAATCTCCTGGTGCTCTGGATTTGCTCGAAAAGATGCTCGTTTTCGACCCAAATAGGCGTATTACAGGTATATACCACTTGCTTTTCACTAATTATACGAGTTTAGAAAGAAAAAAAATAGATTTTTACAAATTTATGTTGATGGCAATTGACAAATAGTTACTACATCGGTCTCAAAATAATTGTTCAAGATGAGAAAGGCAGACAACTTTAGAAATGTGTGATTATTACATTTTTTTTAATTGACTAAATGACTATTTTACCCCTAACAGTAGCGGAGGTAATGAATTTCTCCATCTTATATTTAAGGGTAGAATTGGAAAGTAGAGATGAGGTCTATGTGCATCTCACCCTCTAGACCCTAATAGATTTCTATAAACTTATGTTGATGGCAATTGACAAATGGTTACTACATCGTCTATAAATAACTGTCCATAATGAAAAAGGAATACAGTTTTAGAAATGTGTAATTGTTCCATTTTTTTAATTAACTAAATTACCATTTTACCCTTGATAGTAGAGGGAGTTATGAATTTATCTATCTCATATTTAAGGGTAAAATTGGAAAGTAAGATCAGATCTGCATACATCTCACCCTCTAGACCTTACTATCGAGTGGGATTTGTTGAGTCAGTTTGGATTATTTCCGGTTTCTTTTTGCAGTTGATGAGGCTCTTTGCCACCCGTACTTGGCACCCCTTCACGATATCAACGAAGAGCCGGTTTGCCCGAGGCCGTTCAGTTTTGACTTCGAGCAGCCATCCTGCACTGAGGAGAATATCAAAGAGCTCATATGGAGGGAGTCTGTAAAATTCAATCCTGACCCGACTCACTGAGTGGGATGGACTCACTCAGTCAAGAGATATATATACATATATATGCATAGGTGCTATATATATGTATTATATATATATATATATATATATATATATATATTTATATGTATACTAGTTAGATAATTGTGACATGATCCTAGAATGACTGTATTATACACATAATGTTCTTTCCACTTTTAGAAAGTTCAAACAAATCCAGATTGCAACGTTTGTTCTGTTTTGGAATTTATTCAAGCTTGTTCTTTCCAGTTTTATGACCCTTCTGATCTTTTTGGAGACCCGGAAACAATATCTCATGTTGGAACACCCTCCTGCATACCCCTGCTCAGTTGCTTCTCGTTTCAAATTCAGATGGCAATTTCTTGTTTAACGAAAGAAAATGCTACATTTTATAGAGTCGAGATTCTTGAATTCTGGGAAATGTACAACTTTCATGCACGATCAGGTTCGGGATTCAAGGCCGGTAAGGATGTTGGGGTTCGTGCACGCGAGGGGGAGGGATGGAATTTAAGATCCAAGATCGGTTGGGGAGAGGAACAAAAGTTGTCTTATAAGGACCAGATACCTCTTCTATCAGACTGTTTAAAAGCCGTGAGTCCATTGTAATATAAAGCGGACAATATCTGGTACTTTTGACAGATGATGTTACATTTAACCTCTAGAAAATGAAATTACCGTATAACCTCGAGTGATTCTCCACTCTTTTATAGTTTTTTTTTTGACGTTTTTCATATAAATTAGGGTTCTTATAATGAAAACTACGACCATGTTTGACAAATATAAGTTGGTATATCAAAACCACAAGGGTGGTGTCAAATTGGTTTAAGCTTGGCTCCAAAGGTCAAAAGTACTAAGAGGTCTCAGGTTCAAATCCAAGGAGAAATAAAAAATCCCCTTGTGGCCACGGAGGTTCAAATGCGGTGACTTCGGGTTATCTGCAAAGCAGGTGGTCACCCTGGAATTAGTAGGCTCGCATAGCGGGTTGGATATCCAGGTTAATCAAAAAAAATTGGTATATCAACTAATTTTTACAAACAAAAACGACCAGTTTATCAACAAACACCTAGTTTATCAGTTAGTTTTTATCAAATATGACTAGTTTATCAGCTAATTCACGAGTAATAACTAGTTTACCGACCTGTATGCCAAACACACCCTAAATTCTTTACTCTTTATAGAACACAAAATCTTGATCAATACCCATTTTAACAACACGAGAAACATTCCGCTACCTCCATATATAATACAAATGCATCTGAAACCGTCAAATACAGTACGACGTATAACTTTTACTGCATAAAATACAAGTATTTGAGAAGAGGGCCCCACAATTAAGCCATTACATAAGAACACTTTTTAAGCTCAATATTGTCTATTTCTAGTTTCTCTTGTGGAAAAGTGCACATCCCAATCTTCTCAACCCCTTGGTCAGGCAACAAGTCACATGGCTTTGGAACCACACCACTAGTCACCCCTTCAATATCACTACAAGTCCAAGGAACCTTTTTCGCCTTGACCCGCATCCCGATGGTCGCGTTCGATATACAAATCCCTGTAAAACTGTCCCCCGAGATCCCCTCTAGCCGGGCCGCCATGGTGACGTTTTCCGCCACCACGTTTTGGTAGTTTATGTTCTGGATGATCGGAACTGCTTTTGGGTCCCAGTGAGTGTCGGCGTGGGACCCGTAGTTTCCGGTGATCCAGAACACCCATTTCATGGTATGCAGCGTCATGCCTTTTACGTAAATGTCCTTCACGTATCCACCGCGGCCGACCCCTGTCTTGATCCTGACGGCCGATTCGGTGTTGATGGCGACGATGTCCTCGGCCCTCACGTCGCGGATCCCGCCTGACATTTCGCTTCCGAGGGCAATGGCGGCACTGTAAGGGGAGATGCACGTGAGTCGTCTGATGATCAGGTGTTCTGTCGGCATGCCGTATGATATACCGTATTCGTCCCAACCACTCTTTACCGCTACACAATCGTCTCCCGAGACAATATACGTGTCCTCTATTCTTGTGTTTGAGCAAGAATCTGTTACACGTTACATTTGTTACCGTTACTGAAAATTCGATTAACCAGAAAAACCGAGACGAAAGTAACTGAGGTCAGAACTAACCGGGGTTAATTCCATCGGTGTTTGGAGATTGAATTGGAGCCAAAATTGTAATCCCTTGTAAAATAATGTTGCTGCAATACAACACATATAAGGTTAAAGATTAGATTGGACTGAATTGTCACATATTTGCATTGTAGGGGCAAAATGTGAAATTGTATAAATTACAATTTTGATCCCTATACTATCCTTAATTTTCATATAGCTCCCTTGATATTTAAACAATGAACAAAAACCGAACCGAATCGAAATTGAAATGGTTGGTTTAGTTTGGTTTAAAAGCTTTCATGATTCCTTTTAATCCTATTAAAGCGGGTTTTATAAGAAAGAACGGATTTGCACTTCGTTCAAAACTGAACTAATAAACCGCTTACCCTTTGAATACGGTATTTGTACACGAAAAAGGGTATTTTCGGAAATTTCAGTATCCGAACGAATATGCTAGTCGTAAAATGATTATTACCTGCTATAAACCGGATGAACATTCCATGATGGAGAATTTAAGAAAGTAACATTCGATATTTGAATGGTATCTGAATACATGATCTCAAACAGGTAGGGTCGGGTGTATTTCAATTTTTTCCCGTGGAATTTTTGCCACCAAAGCAAGCCTTGGCCGTCGATCGTGCCGTTGTCACCTAATCCGATGGTCAAGATTAAATTTCGAGAATTTAAAACAAAAACTGTTAAAAAATTGATGTCTAATTTGGTAATTTCACCTGTGATGATGACGTCGGTGAGATTTGTCCCGAATAGAAGACTAATGTACCTTCCCCCGGCTGCATCCCTTCCGTGACCGTACGATGGGAGGGGATCGATCACTGGCCATTGATTTATATCCTATGGTTGTTGAACTCAAAATGGTTATTTATCGTTTGAAATAAATAATGGAAAATAATCAAATAAGAACTATAAAAATACTGAGAACTGTTAGAACCAGTAATTTTGGGTTATTTACTTCGAATTTTGTGTTATTTTTTTAAAAAAATAATGATTTTAAATTTGATTTATAAGTGTTTTCTACTTTTTTTCTTAAAAATACAATATTTTAAATTTAAATTGTCTAAGAAAATAAAATGTTTCCAATATTATAAATATTCATTTATGTATTTACCTATATAATTAGCAATAAGCAAATTGTATGAAAAAATAACGTACTTTAACTTGATTTTTATTTTGGATAACGTATTTTTAAAACTTTCATTTTGGTATCTAAGATGAAAAGCTTTAAACATTTAAGTACCCGGGTAAACAGTTGAAGCATTAACCAATTACCATGTTGATGTGGTATCCGGTTAATGTTTCTGCAAATAATATTGAGTTGGATACCATATCAGAATGGTAACCGGTTATTCGGGTACTTAAATGTTTAAAACTTTACATCTTAGGTACAAAAATGAAAGTTCTAAAAGTACGTTACCTAAAACAGAAATCAAGTTAAACTACGTTATTTTTTCATACAATTTACATTTAGCAATATATATATTATATGTTTAATCAAGTATTATTTTAAATAAAATAAAAATATATTATTTATTTATTACAAGTTTAAACTTTTATTATTCAAGTAAGGCCAAATCAATATCACATGTCCAAAACAAGCCAAGAATAATACCTTTATGGTTGTCTGTACTTTTGTCTTTTATGTAAAATATTTCAATAATGTATCTGATTTAATTCATGCATTGTGAATGTAAAAAGCTGGTCTGATTTTTGTGATGGGGAAATTTGTAGGTATGGATGTTTACCTCTTAATAGTTCCATTAAAAGGCAGTCTATGAATCGTTAAGAGGTGAATCTTGTTTGAAAGAAAAAAAATGTCTCTTGATGGTTCTAAAGTTCTCTGAATGATTTTACATCATGGGTCTCCTTTAACCATTTAGTAAACTAATTTCATTGTAAACAATTATCAAACAATTATATTTCATTTTGCATTATATCATGAGAGTCTATTGATCATTCTGACCACTTAATTATTTTGCACCAAACCATTCAGCAACTACCAAACAGTTCTTTACGCAAGTTATGTAATTGCTAATTAGCGAATTTCCTCCATTTTGACTTTAAATGTCAAACAAGTTGTTTTTAATTTTTAAATTAATAAAAATATGTTTAATTTTTAAGAAAATTATAAAATTATATAAAAATTAACAATAAATAT